GTCTGTAATTATTTCATCACTAGAATCAAATATATGTTTCCATGTAAAAATTGAATAGTATCAACATTAAAAAACACATAAAAGAAAAACATGAACAGCAATTGCAAGAATTTACTCTAATTCTTGTTTACAGTAAGAATAATTCACAGAATTCCAAGAGTGAAGAGAATCCTACATAAATCTAATCTACATGAGAAGTAGAAAAATACAAGATCTCCTTAGTAAAATAGGAGCATGGGGACCTCCAGGGAGGGTGGAAGGGAAGGGAAGAAGCAGGCAGTAGAGCAGAGAAAAATGTAGAGCTCAATAAAAATCAATTAAAAAAAAACATTTTTACCTGAATAGAGGAAATTTTCATTTTATTTTTTTCATTTAACAGTTAAAAACTAGAAGGAGAAATTTATGAAAAGACCAAGAATCTACTAAATGAATAATCACTGCAATCTACATTTATAATCCATAAGCACTAATAAGTGGTTAATACAAATTCCTCATTAAACCTTACTTCTTAACTGCTTTGCCCAGATATGGACCATAGTGAGAATGACAGGCATCATTGTGCATTTCCAAATTGTTCTACTGCTCTGTATGGCTACACTAGTAATTGCTTTCTCAATTTTCATGTTTCAAGACCTCAAACAGTATGTACAAATTTATATATACAAACAGTATATAAATTCACACAGACACACATATACATAAATAAAAATATAAATTGTAAAATATTTTCTCTGTATCGGCTAAAGGATTCCTTTACTCTTGAAAGAAACTGTATTAGTTCACAGGCTTAAAAGTAGAACAGGGGTTTCAATCAACACTATATTTTTTATTGTGTACTTGCCTAATATTCATTGTTTAAACACTGCAGAACCATGGATACTCACATACCCGGTCTGTATTTTTGAAGTCCTGCTTTTTTCCTCTTAAAAAATATTTCATAAGTAATATTGGCAAAAATTTCTATTCTTATAATTTCTGAAAATATTGTGATTTTTTTATAAGAAAATATTGTTAAATTTCTTAATAAGAAATAAAGGTAGACACACTAACCAGAAATTCAGCAATTCATAAACTATACAGCTCCTTCAGCAAAACAAGGAAGAAGGAATGGCTACAAACTACAAGGACACTGGGGAAATCTGGCCATGGACTTTTGGACCTGGAATATGTGTTTATATTTGTACTGTTTCTTTTAAAGATGTAGAGAGGAGTAAAATGTTTGCTCATTAAATAGTGGCTTAGAGAGTTATTTCAATATCTATTTATTATTTCAAGTTAGTGTGGAAACATTAGTTAATTCTTACAGTTTGCTTAAAAAATAAACCCAAACTGACATTTATGCATATTGTGTGGGCAACAAATCAATTACACTGCATATTATGTTGCATATCAATAAACACTATTTTTAAATTCACATGCTATATATATCAAGCATATATTCCTCCATCATTTAAGGAAATATATTTTATATTCAAATGACAATCATTCAACTTTTCTCCTTCTCACTTGCTCATATCCTCCTTCTAGGAAGGCCCACTACCTTAACTGAGACAATAGGCAAAGCAGAAACATGGCTCATTAGATTCTACTGGGATTTGGAGTTTCCTCGCCCAACCTTACCAAATGTTGACTATGTTGGAGGACTCCACTGCAAACTTGCTAAACCCTTGCAGAAGGTAAATACATTCTTTAGATCTCTTTTTTTTATTTGATTTTTTTTCTGGTGAAAATGATTCTACAGCTTTCATTAGATTTTCCTCCCAGGGATAGAAATATATAGGAATTAGACTTAAGCATCCTCCTAACTAGGAGGTGAATAAATTCAGGAAAGACTGTGATAGACCTGGTAAATATTCCTATCAGTGAATTAAATTAGGTCAGTTAGGGTACTTAGGTGGTTAGCAATTGGGTAAAGTCCTTAGCAAGTAATATGAGGGTGTAAGTTTGAATCACAACACCCAGGAAAAAGTTTGGTGACCCAGCACAGTACAATGACATTAACACTGAGGTGGCAGAAACAAGTTGATACTGGGAGCTTGCTGGCCACTAGTCTGTTAAAAAATGTTAAGATTTGTGTTCAATGTGAGACAATCTCAAAGCCTATGTTGAAGATTGATAGAGGAAGACATTAGATTTTAAGTTTTGGCATCTATGTGCTAAACAAAGGCAAGGCACCTCCCCAGAAACCCTAATACGCACACGTACATACCCACACATATAAGCACACACATGGGCACAGACACATAAGCACACATACACATGAGCACAGACACAGACACATAAGCACACATAGATGTACATACATGTATACACAAACACACAATCACACACACACATAAACACATGTCAAAAGACAGAGAAATTAAGTCAGTTAAACTCATCAGTCATAAACTGCTCATCACCAAAAGCTATGATAATCATATATCTGAAGTAATTGTTTGATATCTGAACAAGCAGCATAGACATAGTTTTTCTCCAACCAGTAAATTTTGGATATCAGTTCTGAAAATATTCTTTTCATACACAATATCAGAAAATTATTATATGTTCTATGTTTATCTTGCAATTATGATTGTTTCACAAAGAATCAAAACATTCTATTAATCATAGTAGGATGTTTGTGAAAACCATCACATATATACATACTATTACATAAATGTTATTTCATCAAACACTAGTTAATAATATTAAATCAGCCATTATAGAAGAAAAATAAAATAGCAAAAAAAAATACTTTCCTGTGGGAAGTTTGTAAATGAAGTGACAATTTTTGAATGCTTTATAAAATATGCTTGCACTCCTGAATTTTAATTTTGCCAGAGGAAAATAGGTGTTGGACAATTTATGAGTACATTTTGCATGGATGCCTGCAAAGTTCAAAATCTTTGATTGCCATGCTTGTCTTCTATATGTTTTAAAGCCACTATACTACATATTCTTATAAACACTTCAATTTTTATTCTCCTAGTTTGTTTCATAAAGTTTTCTTAAGTGGTTATTCTACAACTGTATTTTCTTATGAAATAAACTTTCTTCACAGGAAATGGAAGACTTTGTCCAGATCTCTGAAGAGTACAGTGTCGTGGTGTTTTCTCTGGGATCAATGGTCAGCAACATGTCAGAAGACAAAGTCAATACAATCGCAGGGGCCCTTGCCCAGATTCCATAAAAGGTGAGGGAAAGCATTCCATGGGAGGTGGCTCTATATTAAGCCTGCGAATGTCCTTGAAAAGTCTGATTATAGAAATGGTTGTGTGAAAGGTAGAGTTTTAAGGAATCTCTAATTTCCCTTAGTCAAATTTAAAAAATTATATTCACAACAGATGTTTCAATACTGCAGAAGGTGTTCTTTACTGAGAGTGACTTGGATATAAACACGATGATCAAAGTGAGAACATTCTGAAATGCTGGCATGATGATGACATTGCTATCAAGAGTATGTAGACATAGCCAAATTCTTCAGAGTCAGTTTTTCTATTTGTTGATTACTTAAAGTCACTGCAAACACTGGATTTTCAGGGGTGAGTTAATTTGTATCTAGCATTTCTACCAGAATAACAGTAAGCAGGGGTTGAAAAAGTTTGAAATACATCATGACTCTGCATCCTAATTTTGGAATAGACCTGTTCAGTGTGCAGTTGAGAGGACCAATTAAAGGAATGTTGTCTGAGGCTCACTAACCGTCAATCAAAGTACATTTTTTGGCTAATTGAGAGAAAATGCAATAAAAGAAAAAAATCTATTTTTTGGTTGACCTGCCAGTTTTTGTAGGAGAAATATCCAAGGAAAATGTAGAGACAGGTGCTTCCGTCACAGTGATGTCTGCATCATAAAAGATGAAACTCACCACTCTGCTCTTAACCAGTCAGAGTGAAAGTCCTACCAATCAAGGAAGATATAGGAAAGTAAGAAAGGAACCAAAGGAACATAAGGTAAAAAAAATAAAGTTTCAGATCACTCACTTCATAAAGCATACTGAAAAGTAATTTTCTATGGACTAAATTTGAATGTTTATGAATATTTTTAAGTTTGGTAGTGGATCAACCTCTGTTTAATCATCTGCATTAATTTTTTGATGTCATCCCACAGTTTGTGTTATCAGTCACATAGCAAATTCATGTTAGCCATGTGGCTAATGCTCGATTTTATGAGATCTGTCTGAGAATTTCAACATTAGCATCTATCGTAGGATTCAGCTTGAGACTGGTTGTTCTGTCACAGAACATCCATGAATATTTGGAGTACACATCTGGTTTTGAAAGAACCTTTTTAGGGGCACCGAGTAGAAAGGATAGAGAAGGGCTGATTTAGGGAAGATTGATGTGAAAGACCCCCAATTTGGGGAGACTCTCACTCGAGCCTCGGGACGACGCGGAGGGCGCCCCCCCCCAGTAACTCACAAGAAACCGTCCTTGCTGCAATCACACGAGGTTTAATGACAAGACGACAAGAAGGGGACCAGTGCACTGGGGCCAGGACTCATAACCCACGCAGGGGAAGAGTTCGACCTTGAGTGACCGGGAGAAGTAGTTTTTATAGGAAGAAACCACACAGCCCAGTAACCCGAAAGGGGGGCAGGGAGGATGTCACAGAAAATTCCGAAAATTTCAGTGATGATTGCAAAGGGGCAACTCCCTGCCTCCCAAGATCATTAATCAGCTAATTCCTATTCCAGTGATAATTACTAGGGGGTGATAATGACTAGGGGGAATCTCTCTGTCTCTCAAGATTATTCTCAACATTACAATCTACCTTTATCTTCAGCTAGTTCCTGGAACCCTGGAACTGGCTAATCCTTGATTTCTGATTCTTCTCTTCCTGCTAGATTTTTGGCTCTATTTTCCTGTTAGGGGGATCTGGATTTATCCAGGTCTTTCATCTGTAGGTAGATGAATGTGACAAAAGGTTTTTATCTGACCTCCCAAAGAAGTGAAGAAAAAGGAAATGTCAGTTTCACTTTCTTTGATCACCTTCATCATTTAGATGGCAGATGGAGACCCAATGTGCAGACATGTTCTGAGCATATTAGTCTGCATAAATTGTTAGGGCCTGTGGGTCCCAACATAGACAAATATTTTCCCTAACTGGACTGGAACGAAGGCACAAGGAATAATCAGACACAACTTATATGGTCATCATGGAAGGACATCTCAGGCTTCTTCCCATCCTGAAGATTTACCTGAGTAAATTATATCAAAATTCTCTTAATTCCCCCCTCAATTAAGTTGGGATGCCTTATTAATATTCTCTTTCTGAAATGAGCAGCTAGGGACAGCACAGGTAACTAAGTCATCAGCTTTAGCAAACACCTCTCCCCAGGTGATCTACATTTATAACAAAGAGAAGGATTAGCACATCCTGGCTATTGTTGAGGGTACTGACAGGCTTTCTGCAGGTCTATGTGACCTTCTCAGATGGGCCTGTGGCTTCAGAGCTTGGCTGCCACACAAATATAGAAATATGGGCCTACAATCCATTCTCTCTTATTAAATTTAATAACCCCTGTGTTTTTGCAACAGGACAGATGGGTTGCGCCTGGCTTGGGCAAAGTTTTCTTCCTATTACCCAAATATTTCCATCTTTGGAAAGCGGTTTTTGTGAGATTTCCTATCTTAGGCATCTGGGGAGGAGAAGCCTTAAACCTGTCATTGACTGCCGACCTCTGTAAAGAGAAGAGATTAGTGGAGAGAAATATACTTTTCAGGCCTTGGGTATCATAGCCAATATCTTTTGTTTAGATATATCATAATATTTTATGAATAATTATGCTCCCAAAGGCTATAGTCTCCTATTTTAGAGGAGAGTAGAATCACCTGAGTTGAAAATGTTTCTTCCACTGGTTCAGAGCATCACTTTGATCTAGCATTCTCAGCATACGCATCAACTCTCAACATTTACTGCCACAGCCTCTCTTTCAGCAACTGCCAATAGCACCAAGTGACAATCTTGATTTTTCCACATTATCGATCAATACCGTATTTTCAATTTTTTGTATCATAATTTCATATTTAGCCGGTCAGTACCAGCTCTCCAATTATCATAATTTCATATTTAGTTGGTCAGTACCAACTCTCCAATTAGCCATAATTTTATATTCTTTTCAATAATTTTATATTCTTTTTGGTCATTACCGGTGTATTTAGCACCACTGGTCAGTACCAGTTCTTTTCTATCACCTTATATGTAGTTGTAGATAACAGGTCATTACCATTAAGAGTATAATACCATTTTCTGTTATTAAATCCCATTTTCAGTCTCTATGCAGTTGTAAAACCCTTAGTCTACCCCCTTGTTATGTGAAGAGTGGTTTTAGTCATTCTTTATTTTGAGTCTTTCTTTAGGTTTAATATTTTATTTAAAATGAGCTCTGTGTCCCATAAGCCGAGAATACTCAAATGTACAGTTTGTAACTTAGTTTTAAAGCAACAGCCTGCTGCAGACACCACAGTCAGTTCATTTCAGCAGGATCTCTTTGTCTGAAGTCTTTCTGCAGCAATGGGAGTTGGAGCTGCAGGTCTGTACCATACCCTCTGTGGGCTGGATTACCGGTTCCTCCTGGAGCTCTTCTTATTTTGTTTCTCCTGCTGGGCAGTTGTCAACTGAGCTGTCCTCAGGTCGGTTATCCTTCGGCTGAATGCACTGAATCAGTTGCTCTGGAAGCCATCTGGCTTGATTTTCATCCTGTGAGAAAACACAGACATGCCCTTGTTCCCATATTAGGATGGGATTGGGTCCTTTCCATATTCCAGTGTAAGGATCCTTCTACCTTGCTTTAGAAAATGTGGTTTTGTAGCATTATGACACAATCTGTCCACAACTGATTGCTCATGGACATCTGTATTTAGAAAGTGTAGCATAAACAATGCATGATTTAAGGCATTGTGTGGTGTCTGAGGACACAATTCCATTGTCTTTATTTTTTGGAGTTGTATTTTTAAGAAGCTATGTGTACACTCCACAATTCCTTGTCTTTGAGGATTATAAGGGATACCAGTCTTATGAACAATATTCCATTGAGGACAAAATTTTTGAAAAGCTTTTTTAATATAACTGGACCCATTGTCCGTCTTTATTACCTTTGGGGTTCCCATGCATGAAAAGCATTTTAAGCAATGAGTTATTACATGTTTGGTGGCATTGCCAGTTTGTGCTCTGGCCATCATGAATCCTGTGAAGCTGCAGGGCGATTGGTAATGAAAAAGTCCCCAGACTATCTTGATACAAAATATATAGCTTTAATAAACAGAAGTAAGACTTACAACAGCTTACACCAGAATGCAAACAATCCGTCCGGATGCAGGAGCCAGGCGAAAAGAGAGCTAGCAGAGCACACTTGCTAGGTTTATAGGCAGGCTTTTGCCTGAGGGCAGCATGCCCCCAAAACAGAATATGATTGGCTGAACTCCCTTATCAATCCTGAATAAGTATCAATTGTCACATGCACATATCTCAATTTTCCAAACTCAGTAATGTGAGTTACATCCATTTGCCATATATGGTTAGGAAACAGTCCTTGGGGATTTACCCCCAAATGAGGCACAGGTAGATATTGTGGGCATCTTTCACATTGTTTAACATTTTGACGAGCAGCTTCTCTGGTCAGCTTAAATTGCGTTTTTAAACTTAAGCTGTTTTGATGGTGCAAAGCATGTGACTGCTGTGTAAGTTCAACCTGTGATACAGCAATTATTTTTGTAAGTTCGTAAGCTAGAGCAGTATCTTCAGAGAAAAGGACCAGGAAGTCTTGAATATACTCTGATATGTCCCACAAAACATGGTAACTTTCTACATTGTATGGCTTCCTGAATCTGCTGAAACAATATCTTAACTTGTTCATTGTTAGTTCCTTTATATGGCACTGTTTCCAAGATTTGCAATGCATCATAAATATACTGACTATCAGTATTTGGATTAAAAGCCTTATTACCAAAATTCTTTAAATATTCTCTAAATATTAGAGCTACAGTTCACAGCTCCACTATTTGAGCTGAAGCTGGTTCTGTCTGTACCATGTGTCCTTCACCATTGACTAAATAAGCACCTTTTCCATTAGAAGAGCCATCAGTGAAAATCAACAAAGCATCCTTTAAGGGATTCTTTGCTACTATTTTAGGAGAAATGAATGAATGCTGTTGAGTAAACTGCAGTAACTGGTCAGCTGGGAAAAGATTA